CCCCAAAACCCCAAAACCCCAAAACCCCAAAACCCCTTCAGCATTATTAATTATTGTCAATATAATACCATTCTTGCACAATGGCTCATCGAAGAATGTTATCAAACACATCATATACGCCTGCGAAGAAAGATTTCCTTGGCTTAAGAGTGGAGAGCTCGAAGCTAGATTGCTCTGATTTCTCACTAAATTCTCACCTTCCAGCTTTACAGAATGGAGATGAGAAAATCCATCATACCTCAGAGGTTCTGGGAGACCCTCTCATCGTCAAAGGAATGAAAGAAATGATAACAAATTATTGCACTGATGTAGTTTCTAAACTAAATGATCCAGATATCATAATAATTAATAAAAATAAATATGAAGAGCAGAGGCAGGAAATACTTCAAAATTTTAAAGCTAAGCAGATGAAACTTATTGATAGGATAAAAGAGTTAGAGGAGACCATATCGAATAGTAAAAATAATGATAATCCAAGTCAGAATGAACCTTACATGAAGAAAACACCAAGTCAAAGTGAGGTCAACTTCCTTTTAGCCCTAAAGGAGAAGATCAAAATACTCCATGCAGCGTTGAAGAAGGAAAAGGAAGATAAAGCTAAACTATCTGTGAAGCTAACTAAGGTTCAAACAGGTGCTGATAGCGAACAGGATTCCAGATCTTCTTTTGCTAATAGCAATAGCCCATTCAATTTTAATGAGGAACGGGCTAGAGGTTATACTATGCTACATCGGTCAAGAGGTAACAGCATGATCGGGACTAGAAAAGACCAACAAAATAACAGTAAGCTTACTATTACCAGTCCCTTTGATTTTTGGACTGATTATAACTTAATTTCAGGTATGAGAAAGTCCCTTGATGAGACCAGCTACAGACTAGAGGACAAATATGGAGAAAAATTCTGGCAGAACCAAGTGCAACGAGTCATTAAGCAAAACCAGAACTACTCGATGCTATACAACACAAAATAAGCAATTAACTGAAAAGGAAAATTTAGAGGTAAAATCAGAAAATGAAAAGCTTAAGAGGCTGAACAGAGATCTTCAGAGCCAAATTGAGAAAATTAAGACAGAGCTTGATCTTTACAAGACTCAGCTGCTTCAACAGGAAGATGGAAAGAGTCCACTTAAGAGAAAATTTACCATGAGACCGAAGAAGGTATTCCATGAACTAAATCAAAAGACCAAATCTGATGGCAAACTTATGGACAGGAAGAAGACCATCTTACAACCGTTCCAGAGAGCTGAGACTATAGAAGAAGAGGACTCAAGTATACCTGCTTCCCGAATGACCTTCTCAGCTACAAGCAGGGGAACTATTGCTAAGGAAGTTTCAGAAACTGCCGTTACTACAGAAGAATCTGCTCTAAAAATTGCTCAACCAACCGAAATTTTCCAAAATCCTTTTAAAACTCCATTAAAAAGTATGGACAAAAAGAAGGCACCGGAGAGGATAGACATCAAGAAACCACAAACGGTATGCTTATCCCTCACTTCTATAGGAACCTCCGAAGCAGACAAAAGCAGAGCCACGGTATTTTACCCAAAAGACCTTGGCTAATGCTGCCAAAGGTGACAAAGTTATCAGCATTGAAGATCTCAACTCTGAAGACACTGTTACTAACAGAAGTGAATATTCAGCAGAAAATAAAGAAGAGTTCAAAGATCATAATTCTGATTTACGTTCAGAATCTAAGTCTGGGAAAGAGAATCATACTTGTAAAGGTTGTAATCCATTAGGGGGACTATCTAAGAATCACACAGAAGTGATTCAGGAAGAGAAGGAAATTAAAGATACTTTTGGAGACAAGATTAGCCGGATATTTGGGTTTAAGAAGAAATCAACTCAGCTTAAAGACTTTAAATCTCTGTCAACTTCTTCATTCGAGAGGAATACTAATTGTAAGACAAAAGTTAGCCAATCATTAGCTGATTATGCTGAGATTCATTCATCTCAAATGGGAAGAAATGAAACTCCTGAGTCATTTCAGAGGAAACCTGGTTCAGCCTTAGAGTATGTAAAATTAACAACTTTTTAACGAATGGAATCAAATATGATAATGTTTATTAGGGATCGCAAGACTCCTTCAAGGGGAACAAGTAATATTAAAAACATAAGCGAGAATATTGATAGTGATGAAGAAGGAAGTAACCAAACTCCAACAAATCCTATCAAAAGTAGTTTCCAACTGCAATTAGCCGGTATTTTGTTTCTAATGATCTTAAAGCTTCCAAAGAAGAGTGACAAAATCTTAAAGCACCAAAAACTGCTCGGATACAAAGACAAGGGAACTTGACTACCTACCACGAGTATGACGAAGAGTTAGTATTCTCCATAATGCAAGCATCAAATTACTTTTAGTGCTTATCAACCAAAAGAGAGGCAGCTAGATCAATCAACACACAAAGAGACCACTCCAGGGCCTATTCAGCCTGAGAAGAAGTTGTCTTTCTTCCAAGGGCTACAGCAGACAACTATCAAGTCCTTTTTGTACTAATTTCTGCTAAAATTTTTATTTTTCTTACCAAGAACACCCTTTAATTTCGATATTATTTGCCTGGAATCAGCCTCCCAATATTGACTAGGGGTTTTGGGGTTTTGGGGTTTTGGGGTTTTGGGGTTTTGGGGTTTTGGGG